TATCCCCATCTCCTTTCACCAGTCCTATCTAGACAGGTTGGAAACCACTCAGTGGAGATTCTACCTTTCCCCACACCCTCTGAGAAAAGCTCCCTCTTGAAAACTTGTAAGCCAGTTACTTTGTGTCTTTTTTGCCCCTCCCCCATTTGAGGTAGCCAATGTCTAAGTTCCCCATCCCTGTCAACCCTATGTACAAAGTGGGTGGGAATGACCTTGCTGTAAAGAGTCATTCCCTCTTTTAAGCTACTACATCCGTAAGTATAGGTAAATTTCATCAAATTGCAGTGACTTACATTCTTTTTTCCTCTTCATTATTCCTCTAGTCGAGTTCTGATCATCCAGCCATTGAAGCTAGGTCAAATGGGTGCCATCTGCAAGTATGGGCTTTCTTGTGCATCTCCCCTCACTCCACATCAGCTGGACACTTCACTCTCCGCTTCATTCCTCCATGACAATGTCCCTGTGCATGGGCTCAGGAGTCCCCATGTCTCACTATAATACTGGCCACCCAGGTCATGATCCAGGTTGACAAAAGTCTATTGAATATGGTCAGATTTAGTTCACAGCTTCATTGCTGTTTTCCACCCACTTCCCCTTATCAGTAGACCAACGTGGTCACAGCAAGACTACATGTCTGCTTGTGTATTCCCTTTGCATTTCAGTCTTGGAAGGGGGTTTACCCTGAGAGGAATCGGTTGCCTGCCTTGATGGCTCCCCAGTAAACAACTTGCTTGTTCATAAAGTAGTCAATCAGACTGCCACTATTGTTTTTTATTTTTCCTGCTGGTCTTTCTTTCAAGAAATATCTTTTTCCTTCTAGCTGCTCCAGGCTGGTCTGTTTGTCTTTTCAAGTGGAAATTTCCCACCTCAGAAGATTCTGGATGGGGATCAGGATTCCACCTATGGTCTTATACAATGCAAAGGCTCCGCGGGAAGCCTCTTTCACTGGGCAAGTTCTAGCCCCATTTTAGGTATTCCAATCAGTTATAGGCTGAAAACGGGCTTACAAGCTTTCTGTGGTGATGTTTCTGGCTATTCCTTTCTCTGCCCCTAGAGTGTCTATTTTACAATAGTAGACAAGGGAAACCAAGATACATAAGACAGTCAAACATCTTAATATTATTTCCCCTCTTATTCTCATTCAAACCATGCCTCAATCCCTGTATCACAAAGCCCTGTTGTTCCAAGGATGTGAATACAACAATATTTACCTTTCTTGTTGTTGTTATGTGCCGTCGAGTCGGCTCCAACCCATAGCGACCCTGTACAGGGTTTCCGAGGGTGTAAATCTTTATGGGAGTAGAAAGCCTCATCTTTCTCCCACGGAGCAGCTGGTAGTTTCAAACCGCTGACTTTAAGGTTCGCAGCCCGATTACCTTTCTTAGACATTGTTATTATTTTTATCTTTGATTGAGCTCACGGGGTCCTCTGAATTTGTTGTTGTAATTTTGTTCTGTTCTGAATTTTGCTATCTGTCGACTGAGTTCTGGGTGGTGTTACCACATCTGTCAATCTCTGGTTGTTGTCTGTTCTTGTTGTTTTTCATTCCAAAGAACTCCCTTTAGGATGTTTTGAAGTACTGGGCTGGCTTTGTCAAAGTCTCTTAGCTTCTGTTTATCCTGGAATGTTTTGATTGCACCATCATATTTGATTGACAGCTTTTCTGGGTAGACAATTCTTGGTTGGCAGTTTTTTTTTTCTTTTAGGGTTTTATATATGTCTCCCCATTGCCTTCTTGCCTGCATGATTTCTGCTGAGAGGTCAGAGCTTAATCTTATTTTCTTGCCTTTGTTAGTAACACTTCTCTTTTTCCTGGCTGCTTTTAGGATTCTCTCCTTGTCTTTGATTTTTGGAAAGCTTGATTATGATAGGTCTTGGTGATTTTCTTTTGGGGTCTATCCTTATTGGAGTTCTTTCAGCTTCTCAAATGCTTATCTTCTCATCCTTCAAGATGTTTGGGAAATTTTCTTCCATAAGTTCCTTAACTATCCCCTCTGTGGACGTCTGTGATTCTTCCTGTTCCACAATGCCAATAATTCTTAAGTTATTCCTCTTCATGTTATCCAACATGAATCTTAGACTCTCTTCAGTTTTTTGGTTTTTGTTTTGTTTTGTATTTTTATCATTTTTTCTGCTTGCTCTTCTGTCTTAGCAGTATTGAAAGATTTGTCTTCCAGCTCGCTGATTCTGGCTTCCATCTCTTCAATTCTACTTTGCCCTTTAAGTGTATTGTCAATTTCTGCTATTTTATTATTAATCATCTAGACATCTTTTTGCAGGTTTTGAATTGTTTCCAATGCTATATCTAACTTGTTTGATTGTTCCTGTAGCACTTTCCTGACTTTTTTCTTATTTTCCTCCACCCTTCTGTGAAGCATTTGAATTTGTCTCTATTATTCTTCTGAATTCCTTCTCAGGCAGATCCAAAGCTTGCTCTTCTTCTAATGGAAAGTCTATGTTTGCCTACAGCTCATTTGTCTTAGTTACTCTTTTCTGGTTTTGGACATGTGCTGAGATCTTTTGTTGTTTTTTCTTTGACATTTCAATTGTTAGATGTGTTTTCAATAATTAAATTAATGTATGTTGCTGTATTGTTAAGCTCACTGAGTGTCTCCTGGTGGATGTGATCTAGAGATAGGCTTCCCCTTTCACGTCTCTTATTACTCAGCTTTGAGCTATCTTAGAAGGTGTTGGCTATCTGTGTAATGCCTAGAAACTGGTATTGGCTCCTGTCCAGGTGGTGGGATAGTATGGGTATGCTTGTAGCTTGGCTATATGGCAATGATTGCTGTCTCTCATTAGGTAACACAGGGCGAGCAAGCTCCCACCCCCCCACCCCCCCCCAGGAAAAATATGAGGCCAAAAGTACCAAAACCAGAAAAAATATAAAAGCAGAGACAAAAAACCAGCACATAAAAGCAAGAAACAAAACTTCAGCAGATTGTCCAGTAGCCTTTGCTGTGTAGGTCAGTGTGCATGCACAGTAGAAACGTCAAGTAGTGGCTGGGGGTGTCCACTTGCTCAGCCCTCCCCACTAATCACCCACTATGGAAGTGCGCAGAAAGCTATTGAGAAATGAATAAAGAAGGATTGTTCACAATTTTTATCTCTGAATGTCAGTTAGGTATCTGCATATGCACAGCATAATTCTCAAAATGACTACATCTTTGTATATAGTATTTGGTGTTGGCTCTTGCCTTTTATGTTGCCTTTTATGTTTTATGTTTACAAGGTGCAAATATGGTTTGGTTGTATGACCAGACCTTCTGTCTCTTGTTAGGTAAGGCAGGAATAAAAGATCCCGCCCAAGTAAGACAGTTAACTTTTAGGGTTAAGTCCCAGAGTCAGACATCATAAGAAACAGCCAAAGGATTAGCTTGTGAGACTGCTGTGGCTATCAGGGATTTCCTCTTTGCCCCAGGGGAAAAATTGTACCCTGTGAGCACAACCCTGGACCCTTTTAGGGGTGTGCTCCCAGCCACCTGAAGATGCCCAGGCTGGGCAAAGAGGGTGCGACAGGGAAGAGGAGGAAAGAACAGTGAAAAAAAGTCATCACACCTCTTTTTCCACACATTGCTCAGTGGTTTGAGTGCTGTATCAGCCTGGCTGTAGCCCCACCCTCTCCCAAGCTTTTCAAGAGTGAGTCGCAATGGTTACTTTGGGGGTGTGAATAGTTTAGGGTCTGGTCTATAGTTGTTCAGGCTGAGCCCAGGCTCTGAAGGACAGAGGTCAGCTCTGAGGACAGTCCCTGCTCTTGGGTCAAGGTTTTTAGATTCTATAAGTCAGTGGATCACTGGTTGCTTAAACCATGATTTACAGATTTCCACTAACTTCTTTGTGATCCCTGCACACCACATCTTCCTCTTTTTCCTCTGGACTTTCTGTCTTCTTCCTCATGCATCATATCACACATCACATCTCTGGCATGTCTTTGTACACATTGCAATCTTATAAGACAGGTGCAGAGTTCCCTTATGTGCAACTACCACTCATCTGTCAGTGGAGACCTGTGTGTTTCCATGATGCTGAACAGGATCACAAAGATATGATCCACAACTGGTCATAGGCTGGGCCAGGAATAGGCAGTGTCTTTTTCTAGTGTTCATGATGTCACCATGAGTTGGGGGCCACCTTGATGGTAATAACAAGAATTCCTATGCAGGAATAATGATGACCTTCAGGTCAGCCCCATCTCCACAAAGAGAAGCCTCCTCTCTTGTCTTGAGAAACCTTTTTAGCCTCTTCAAGGCAAGGTGGAGACAGTGGTATTCAGGCAATTGTTGACATCTGGAAACCTGAGAGAGGTGTCTAAACACCAGGACTCCAGATGATGGGCTTCCTGGACTCCTCAAAGGTTCTTCCATGCCTTGAATTGGAGGAGGGGCAGGGATCATCTCAATAGTGTTGACCACAGCAGTTTTTTCAGGATTCCAGTTGTTGTTGTTGTTGTTGTTGTTGTTGTTAGGTGCCACTGACTCACTACCAACCCTTAGAGACCCTATGCACAGCAGAACGAAACACTGCCCAATCCTGGGCCAACCTCACTATTGTTGCCATGCTTGAGTCTATTGATGCTGCCACCTGACCTGCATGCAATTGATCAGAAGAAATGCTTATCCTATACCCTGATGGGCTTGGACTTATGCGTGTCCCCACTCTGCCCAGTGCAGGACATGCACAAGGCCAGCTTTCCACGTTGGCAGCCTGGCTGTTAGCCTGGCACGACTCAGCCTGGATGGCTGCAGGGGGCCCAGTTCCCCGGGCCGGAAGCCTCACCTTGGGAGGGTACATCCACCCCGCACCTCTGCTCTGCGTATACAGCACAGATATCTCAGCTCCCTTTGCCAACAAAGGATTCAAATGGCTTGTGCCATGCAAGAGAACAGAAAGGTTATCTGTGCACGTTGTTGAGCAAACAGAGAGGACATTATAAAACACACCGCAGAGTGAGGACTGTACATTTTGTAGGAGGATTCTGAGAGAAGCTTTGCACCTACAACATGGGACCTCGAGGCTCTGGGATCCTGGTGGCACTCCTTGGCCTGGGGCTGTGTTCCCTGGTTGCCAGCAGCAAGCCCAGTAAGTGAACACCTGTCCCTTAAATAACACTCTGCAGCTCAATCTCCGGAGCACTTCAGTCTGGATGGGTCTGGAACCCACCCTGTTCCCCACTAGTGTTCTGGGATGCCGATGCTGTGAATCTGATTTCACAGAGCCTCCTTTCCCCTCAGTGGGGCTCTGATCCTATAGAGTTTCTGTTATGTTTCTCTTAAGAGGGGAAAAAAAATGGCCAAATGATACATTAATTTGACAGGGGAAGAGGCTAAAAAGGTTTCTCAAGACTTGTAATGTTCTGTTCACATAAACCAGGTATGTGTATGCCCACACTTGCTTTCCCATATTTCAGGCAGAGGCTTACAAAAGAGCTTTAAGAATATCCTCCTTACAGGGAAAGATCTGGATAACAGCAGGTGTGGTGGCCAGGCTGGGGGACCTGGTGTGGGGTCAGCAGGGCTGGCCACTGAGGGCTCCTCTGAGTCCTACCTCCTCATCTCTGACTTTGACCTTCTCCTAGGTCCTCTGTTCTTTCCAGAAGATCAATTTTTCTTTCCTTTTAAACTCTTGAAACAATTTCAGATTGATCCTGTTAGCTCCTCAGGAGAGAACTGCATAGTTCAAATATGGGAAAGATAAGACTAGGTTTCTCAATGAATGTGTTCCCAAATGCTCCATGGACCCAAGGTGGGAGTGTGCAGCTGATGTCAGGACTGACTGATGAAGTTTCTTCCCCAGCTCCCTGCCAGTGCTCAAGGTTGAACCCTCAGAACAGGAAGAACTGTGGCTTCCCCGGAATCACCAGCAACCAGTGCTTTGACGTCGGGTGCTGTTTTGACTCCAGTGTTGCCGGCGTGCCCTGGTGTTTCACCCCCCTTCCAATGCAAGGTAATCTGTCTGGGAAGGAGGACCCTCTTCCAAGGATCATGGTTGGCTGAGGGTCCACAGCAACAGGGCTAGGCTCTACCCTACCCTACCCTCTATCCTCCAATATTGGTGACTGCCCAACTGTTAGTCCAGCCCTGGCCCAGGAAAGGAACATGTGCCAACCCACCAGGGTGTCCTCCTCTACAGATGTCATACCACTTGTGAGCCCTTCTGGCAAACAGTCATTAGTATGTGCACGGTTTACTTTATTTGAAGAAGCATAACAGAAAAAAAAAAACAACAAAAAAAAAACCCAACTGTACTCCCTTCTAGCTTTAACAGTATGATTTCTGAAGAAACTTATAAGGGAAATGAAACCATTTACTGTAATATTAACTATATTGTTGCTAAAAGAATTCAAAGATTAGGAAATTCATGAAGAATTCTAAGATTATATTTTGAGAAAGAGTTTTATGCCAGTTCATATTTATCAATATAACAAGTTGTTCATGCATGAAAGAAGGCTGCACAGGAAGGAGCTCTCCTTGGGGATTAAACCCAGCACCCCATGACCTCTCATTCACACTTGCAAGGAGTTTGCTCCCCAGGGCCATCAGTCAAACATTCACTTGGCTCTGGAAATGAAGTAAGACAGACAGCTGGGTATCAGTGGGTGCTTCCATTTTAGTGGAAGTATTGTTGTGTTGGCCATACCTTGACCAAATGCTTTACACCCTTAAAGGATGTTCTTAAACTTTTCCTCATCGTGATACAGGGGCCATACTCATTTTACAGAGGAGCATATTGAGTCCAGAGAGACAATTTTATTTTCTTAAGATCTGACTCCTCCATCTTCGAACTTCCTTGGTTCATATGATTAAGGAGGCCAGAGTCAACCCATTGCTGGCACTAAAAAACAAGAAAGCCCCACAGTTCAGTCAAGTAGATTCTGACTCGTGGTGATCTGACATGTGGTAGAGTAGAACTGTGCTTCATACAGTTTCAATAAATGATCTTTTGGATGTAGATCACCAGGCCTTTCTTCCAAGGCACCTCTGGGTGGACTTGAACTGACAATCTCCAATTAGCAGCCTAGTATGTTAACCATTTGCACCAACCAGGTATCCAACACTTACATAATCTTAAAGTCCCAGAAGTCACAATCCCTCAGATAAACTGAAATTGTCAATTCAGTGGATTCCTAGGGGGAGGATAGGAATGGGAGTTTCTAGTAAATCGCTAGCTTAATTGAGTCTCTGTGCTATCCCTTCCCTGCATTTGGTGGTCCATGAGCAGAGTCAGAGGAATGTGTCATGGAAGTGAAGGCGCGAAAGAACTGTGGGTATCCTGGTATTAGCAAGGAAATCTGTGCCTCCCGAAACTGCTGCTTTTCTGACACCATCCCTGAAGTGCCCTGGTGTTTCTTCCCTCAGTCTGTGCAAGGTAACACAATTGTAGGATTCAACCCACTACTGGTTTCTCTAGGTTGGTGGGAACTGGGAAGGTGGGAGTCACTGCCCCTCACTCCAGTGAGCTGCTGTTTCAGGAAAAGATACATTATTGTAACATAGTGCTGATGGACAAGCCTGCCTTCACTTTGGACCAGCTCTGAAAGCAATTCTAAATGTTCTTGAGAGTGACAGACCCTCTTTGCAAAGTTTAGAGCCAGCATTCTGTGGCAGGGTTTGTGATGGCTGTAAAAGTAGAATCCTCATTCTTGGCCACACCCCTGGATCTTTACACAGTGCTATGGCATTGCTTATTTTACTGCAATTCAATCACCATGTTTGGATGCTACTGAGTGCTAGAGGCTGGGCTGGGTACCAGGAATGAGGCCTAGAATAGAGTGGGCATGGTACCTCTTCTCAGGGACCTCACCTTTTTCTCACACATGACCACAACATCCTGTTCCAATGACAGTGAAAGATAGGTCGGGTCCTGAGACATGAATTTTGCCCACCAGTTATAATGAGTTTGGGAAGGCAAAGAGAAATACACAACCTATTCAAAAAATGAATAGAGAATATATGGATCTATTGTTGTTGTTGTTATTAAGTGCCACTGAGTCAGTTCCAAGTCATAACAACCCTGCTCAGGGTTTCTGATGAGCGGCTGGTGGGCTTGAACTGCTGACCTTTTGGTTATCAATCCAGAATTTATCCTATAGCACTATATGGCTCCATTGTTGTTAAGTGCTGTCAAGTCAGTTCTGACTCATAGCAACCCTTTATAGGGTTTCCAAAGAGCAGTTGATTGGTTTGAACTGTAGACCTTGTGGTTCACAGTCTAGTGCTGATCATATAGCACCATACCATTGTAAAAGTACAATCTTTAATTTTCAGCAATTTCCAAGAGTACCTAATAGACTAAGGAATCTGGGTGGTGTGGTGGATTAAGCATTAGACTGCTAGTCCCAAGGTCAGAGGTTAGGTTCAAACCCATCAGATGCTGTGTGAGACAAAGATGGGGTTGTCGACTCCTATAAAGATTTTCAGCCTCTGAAACCCTATAGAGCAGTTTGACTCTGTCTTATAGGGCTGCTATGAATGTATGGGTTTACTTAAGGGTCCATCTGGAAGTTTTCTCATAGTTTGGGAAGATTGATCTCCACAGAGGACAATCTTACTCTGGGGGATTTTGCCCCTTCCTGTAACTCCTGTGGAAGAGAGCTGCCTCTTCAGTAGGAAACAGCTGAATAGGATTACCTATTATCAAGTAAATGCACCCCCTCTTCTTAGCTTAGGTTCTTTTGTTTCCACAACACTTTCACTGACTATCTTGAATTTTAAATTTCTAGACTGTCATTATTAAGAAGTACTGGCCTCAGAGAATTCATCTGGCTTACTGGATGTTCTAAAAACAAAAAGCAAAAAGGAAGACCAAGACTCACCATCTCTGCCACTTCCCAATTCATATTTCATGCAATCCTGGGTTTTCTTCATCTTCTGTTTCTTCTAAATGGTTTAACATATACTTTCTTGAAATAAAAACCATAAAATCTGCTGAATTTATTTTTTTGTTTCATTGACACAGTGGTGGTGATAGAGCATGTATGTATATATGTATAAATGTGTAAGAGCCTGTGTGTTTACATGTGTGAGTGTGAATGTATGTAGTTTAAACAATTTTATAAAAGCAACCTAGTCATCAAATACATGGAGGCTACTGTAGTAGCAATAAAGTATCTCATGTAAGTGGATTTCACAATCCACAATCACTCTATAACTTCTGATCTGTTAAGCCCATTGCTATCAAGTTGGTTTTGACTCACAGTGTCCCTATAACAAGAGAGTAGAACTAGCCCATAGATGTCCAAGGCTGTAATCTTCATGAAAGAAGACTGCCACATCTTTCTCCTGCAGAGTAGCTGGCAGGTTCAAACTACTGATTTTTCCTTTAGCAGCAGAGCACTTAACCACTATGCCACTAGGGTCCCCATAACTTCCCAACCCGATCATTTTTATTAAAGTTCAAATGACTTTAGCACTAAAAATCTTGGAGTAGCCTATTATTTCAGGTGGCAAGTACATAACCTCTTCACATTTACAAAACTTGTTGAAGATTACTCACATTTGAAATAAGTGTAAAACAATATGTCATTCCCTTCAATGGGCAGATGTGGATCCTTTCCTTAATGTGAGTAGAGGGGGCTCTCCCAGCTCTTTGCTTCCATGTTTCTCCCCTTGACCTGAAAGAAGCTTCAACAACATGTTTGATTCGAAGGATGCTTTAAAGAACAAGTTAGCAGCATTTCACGAGGCAATAGCAGCACACATGATTACCATTGCATTAAATACATTTCACATGTCAACTGTAAAGGGTCCTGACACTATTTAGCTCAGTGGGTTGGAGTGTGGGGCTGAAGGTGCCAGATCAGTCATTTTGTTGCTTTTTCCTCTGCCCTGAGGCCTAACACAACTCAATCAGATTGGTTGGCAAATGCTTCACCCAGTAGTCCACCACTGTTTAAAAAATATTCTGATGAAATTAATTTTGTAGAGTTTATGTTGGTCTCAGATAAAATTCATGAAACAGCAGCAGAGCCTCAGTGCAGTGAGGTGTGTGATGCTGGACAGAGAAAAGGTGAGAGAGAGCAAGTTTGTGTAGAAGGTAAAGGGTAGAAAGAGACAAAACATCTTTCAGGTATACTGATAGGCCATTAGGTCATATAAGAGCAAGCTATACAGAGAGCCAAAACATTTAAACTCATCTATTCCAAACTCTGTTTAATGTCTGAACTAAAATTCCTGAGAGAGCAAATGAAGGTGCAAGCAGAAGTGCCATGGATACCAATGAACTCAAAAAAAAGATAGGAATTTTTAATTTGGTTGGATGGAGGGGGCAAAGTGGAACTAGTCAAACCTCTTTCATTCCTTAACTTTTTTTTTTTTTTTAATGTTTTATTGTGAATTACATGATAGTTTACATGGGGGAACTTTAGTTTTACGTTCAGTCCATCGTATATCATTTCATTGCCATGGTTCCAATCCCCTCCATGCATCATCAATCATCCAAAGAGTATATTCCAGAAACCCGCTCCCTACACTTCCCCCTTCTCCCCCCAGTTTTCGGCCCACAGTCCCTTTCCCTCTCTGGGTCCTTAACTCTTTTAAAGAGTCTTCTTTAACTCTAGCAAGTCTGAAGGATAAGATACAAATTCACAACACCTGTCACCCTGGGGAATCCAAGACCTCTACTTTCCAGGGTGAGATAGGGACCAGTGACATCGACTTTGCAATAGAAAATGGGAATTTTAAAAAGCATTTCTTCAGAGAATAGATTTGGGACCATTTTATGTTTCTGGTTGCGATCACATTTCAGATTCTTATATTTTGAAGAAGGAAACATTATACAACTTTTTTGTCTTGTTTATAACATATTCATAATCTCAATAAAACAATGGAGATTATGAATATATTATAAGCAAGTTTTGGCTAATTTATTCTTCACAGAATTTGTACCCCTCCCATGATTCTTCTAACCGTACAAGTAGAGCACGTATTTGGGAGTCAAACCATCACATGGATTTCCGAAAATTGTCCTTCACAAATTCTTCAGGGGCTGCATGAATGATACCTTTTCCAAACTCGTGGGTCCTGGAGGTGCTGCTCTAAGAATGAATGCCATGGCCTCTTGCATACTGGGTTTTGTGGAGGCTCCTGATTCCAGGGCATTTTCCAGGCCACAGTTCCCTTTTTCTTGGCAGAGGAGGAACTTGTGTGAAGGCCATTTGTATGAATCTCAGGATGCAGGAACATTCTTTAATAAATGGACATTTATATTTCTGATGGAATTATTTCTCAGGGAATTTTCTTTCCATGTCTCAATTCTTAAGCCAAACATGCTCTTTAAAATCATCTTTATTGCATTGACCTCCCATTTTCTGAATCAATTCCTACATTACCCTTCTGATTATGGGAATCTAGATTCTTGAACAATTTCAAGAATGTCCACTGTGGTCATGAGCTTGAAGGTTCTTAGGCTGTTTCAAATATTATAACTCCTGGTTGTGCTAATACCATCAGCTACAGATAATGTCATGTTATCCAAAAGTAGTTAAGAGATTTTAGAGGCAAGATGGTGGGGTAGGCAGACATGCTGAGAAGACAACTCCTGCATAGAGAAGTGAATGAACTTGCCCTGAACTATGCTATACAAACAGCAAACAGAGAACTGTATTCACGTTTCTTGTCTCTATTATATCTGCCAGGAGACAGGTGGTGAGTGCCTGAGAACAAACACACCAACATATAATCATTGATTAAATATAAATACAACAACACCACAATGTCCCAGAGACAACAGACCATTTCAACATACACAAAGAAACAAGACAGTGTGCCTCAAACAAGGAACTAAAATATAGTCAGAACTTGATAACAAATTTAAATTAGTGATATTTAGGTATCTTCAACGAATGGAGAAAATGATTGAGAAAACTTCAGATGAAATCAAGGAAAGCACAGAAAAACTTTAGAAAATTTCAGGAAAACACTACAAGAACAAATAAAATAAGTGAGAAATTAGAAATCTTACAAAAACAGCCATTACAAAACTAAAAGATTAATAATAAAACTTTAGAAATAGATAAGACACTGAAAGGACAAAGAAGCAGAATTGAATCAATGGAAGGTCAAACTGGTGAGCTTGAAGACAAATCTGTCAATGTTCATCTGCTAGAGGAACAATCAGAAAAGAGAAATGCCCCCAACCGCCGGAAAAAAAAAAAGTCTGAAGAAAATGAAAGATTTATATGGAATACTGCCAAGAGGAATAACATATATATGATCAGAATTTCAGAGCAGGAAGAAACAAAAGAAAGAAAGAAAATTATCAAAAAGTTGTTGGAAGAGACCTTCCCTAACATGAACAACAAGAAGATAGACATTCAAGAAGTTGAACAAACCTCAAGACATGTTATAATCAAACTTTTCAAAACAAAAGAATCCTGAGAGCAGCTCAGGAAAACCCACAAATTGCCACAAAGGAGAACTAATAAACCTAAGCTCTGATTTCTCAGCAGAATCTATGCAGGCAAGAAGACAATGGGGTGACATATATAACATCGTGAAAGAAAAATAATTGCCAACCAAGTATCATATATACAACAAAATTTTCCAACAGGTATGATGGTGAAATTAGGACATTTTCAGGTAAACAGAAATCAAAAGAATTTTTAAAAACCCGACCAAGAAGTAATATATATATATGGAGCTCTGGTAGCGTAGTGGTTACGAATCGGGCTGTGAACCTTAAGGTCAGCGGTTCGAAACTACTAGCCGCTCCGCGGGAGAAAGACGAGGCTTTCTACTCCCGTAAGGATTTACACCCTCGGAAACCCTGTACAGGGTCGCTATGGGTCGGAACCGACTCGACGGCACTTAACAACAACAACATATATATATACTAAAAGGAATTATTTGAACAGAGAACAAGAGCAGATAACAATCTGAGATTACCATACATGACAGTATCGCCCAGAACTCAGCCCAGATATAGAAGTATTCAAAGAAAAACAAACCTACAAGACTGAAAATAGGGAAGAAGTTACACCAGCTTGCAACAACAAAAATCCATAAAGTAAAAAGAGGGAATAATGTAGCTATATAATTTCTAAATCGAGAGGAAATAAAGTAGATCTTAAAATTAAATAATAATAAGCCTAACTGTAGCCCTAACATGCCCTGGCAGTCTAGTGGGTTATACCACAAGGTCAGCAGTTCTAATCTACTAGTCACTCTGGGGAAGAAAGATGAGGCTTTCTGCTACCGTAAAGATTTACAGCCTCGGAAACCCTAATCAGGGTCACTGTGAGTTGTAGCCGACTCCTTGGCACACAACTGCCATCAACCAAGCCTGACTCCTACCCTAACACTAACATCAGTCTTATCCATAGCCCTAACACTAAATGAAATCCTGTGCTTATAATTCAGGCTGCTAACCTCAAGGTCAGCAGTTAGAAACTACCAGCTGTTTCGCAGGAGAAAGATGATGTTTTCTGCTCCTGTAAAGATTTACAGCCTTGGAAACCCTATGCAGGGTCACTATGAGTTGGAACTGACTCCACGGCACACCAACACCAACACCCAGGCCTAGCCTAGACCTAGCCAAAGTCATATCCCTACTCTTCTTCTACACCACACCCCTGCAAAAAAGTGGTCAGTATTACCTGTCCTCCTTCCATCTCATTCCTTAGGTGGCTCACCCTGATGGCTATGTAGCAAGAGTTAGTGACCTTTGAACCCTCCTCCATCATCATTTTTCTTTCTCCCTTTCTTCTATTTTTTTCCTCCCTCTCCTCCATCCCTCCCTAATCTCCAACTATTTTATTCATCTCCTCTGCTTGTTTCTGCTTCCCTTCTGCTTAGTCTCCTAATGCTGCTGTAAAAGCAGGTAGATGGCTTTACAAAACAGAAATTTATTTCCATAGTTTGTTACTAGTTTGATGCCACCCAGTCAGTTCCAACTCATAGCGGCCTTATGTACAACAGAATGAAACACTGCTTGGTCCTGAGTCATCCTCACAATTATTATGTTTGAGACCATTGCTGATGACACTATGTCAGTCCATCTCATTGGGGGGAGGGGTCTTCCTCTTTTTCGCAGAACCTCCACTTGACAGCATGCTGTCCTTCTCCAGGGACCGACCCTTCCTGATAAAATATCCTAAATATAAAGATGAAGTCTTGCCATCCTGGTTTCTACGGAACATTCTGTTTTCTTTCAACAAAGATTTCTTTGTTCTTCTGACATTGGCGGCAGTGATGGGGGTCACACCTTAGGGAGGGGCATTGTAGTAATTAGGTTTCTGTGTCAATTAGACTAGGCCAGGATCTCCAGAGGTTTAACAGTTGAGATGTGCTTATTCCCATAGTGATGAAACCTAATACAGGCATAGTTAGCTCTGTGATGAGTAACTATGAGCAGCTAATCAATTAAAAGGATACTTCCTTGGGGGTGTGGTCAATATAATGGACACATAGAAGGGACTCTCTCTCTCTCTTTTGCTGGGGACCTAGGACTCTACAATTGTAAGATA